GCACTTTGATCAGGTTTCTCAGTGGGTGCGTCACTGAGTGGGGAGAACCTGTTTGACTATGAAAAAGACTATGCCGCCTCACAGTCACCCAGTCACTGCGGTCAAGCCAGCCGCCACTCCGAAATGCACGGTCAATCTAGCCGCCACACTGTTTTGCTGTGCGCGCATATACTGTGCATTACGGCGATCTTCCGCTGGTCTTTCGAGTGCATTCACTCAGCTAGTTTTTATTTTTAGTGCTTAACTTATACATACAGACAAGAACAGGGAAATAAGACATTATTCTATCTCTTATAAATCACTTCACTCAAGCAGTTTATATGTCAAAATGAATGAAGAAATATGTATATTAAAGAAAAAGTTAGCGATTTAATCAACATAAATGAAGATAAAACATGCAAGTATTACAAAAGATTGGGCCCGATAACCTGAAAATGACTTGAAATGTTGGGTAATATATATTAAGATAATTAATTATACTACTACTAATAATAGTAATAATAAAGTAATATCAGATTAACTGTCTGTAATATTATTATAATAATCTCTAAAAATGTATTTAAAATAGGCCTGATAAAATGAAATTGTCTAAAAGTGTCAAGTAATAACCTAATAATTAAAGTTTAAAAAATGATATCAAAATAACTATCTGATGTGGAATTACAAAATAAAAGCCCCGCCCCCCCCCAAAAAAATCTCATATACAACCTGTTTTGCTTAGCATTTCAGATAGCTCTAAAAAGGAAAGTCCCTGTTATCACAGAACAAATTCAATTCACATAGACAGTCCACTACCCCAGTGTGTCACTCAGCCAGTTTCAGGACGATATGATGTTGCATTACAAAATGAAAGCCCTCCAAAATCTCACATATGACCAGTTTTATCTTTGAATTTGAATAGCTCTAAAAAGAAAACTCCCCGTTTCCACAGACCAGGTTCAATTCAGATTAATAGTCCACTACCCCAGGGTGTCACTCAACCAATTTCAGGACTGTCTGATGTTGCATTACTAAATAAAAGCCCTCCAATAACTCATATATGACCAGTTTTGTCTTATTTTGGATAGTTCTAAAAAGGGAACTCCCTTTTTCCACAGAACAATTTCACTGACAGTCTTTGGGGTAGTGGAATGACAGTCCACTACCCCAAAGTGTCACTCAGCCAGTTTCAAGACGATCTGATGTTGCGTTATGTACAAAAAGCCCTCCAAAAACTCATGTTCTACCTGTTCTGCATGTCATTTTAGATAGCTCCACAGACCTGTTTCAATTCTGATTGACAGTCCACCACCCTAGAGTGTCACTGGGCCAATGCCAGGACTGTCTGATGTCACATTACAAAATAAAAGCCCTCAAAAAACATTCATATATATATATATATATATATATATCCTGTATTTTCCATATTTTCAGATAGCTCTAAAAAGAAAAGTCCCTGTTTCCATAGACTATTTTCACTTCAGATTGATAGCACACCACCCCAGAGTGTCACTTATGCAATGTCAGGACTATATGTACAATTCCAAAATGAAAGCCCTCCAAAAATTCAAATAAATTCTGTTTTGTATGTCATTTCAGATTTTTATAAAAAAGAAACTTCTGATTTCCACAGACTAGTTTCCCCTCAGATTGACAATACACTTTCTCACAGTGTCACTTACACCATTTCGGACTGTCTGATGTTGAATTCCAAAATAAGAGCCCACCAAAACTTGTATATACACTGTTTTGTCACAGTTCTAAAGTAGTGTAAGTGATACTATGAGAAGGTGTACTATCAATCTGAAGTGAAAGTAGTCTGTGTAAACAACGAGATACTGTTTTCTACTTATCTGAATCATTAGACAGTCCTGACATTGTGTGAGTGACATTCTGAGGTGAAGTCTGAAGTGAAAATGGTTTGTGGAAACAGTTTCCATTTTATACCAATCTAAATTGTTATACAAAACTGCTTATGAGTTTTTGAAGGACTTCAATTTGTAATATTGCACCAGATAGTCCTGACATTGTGGGAGCGACAATGAGGAGGTGTACTGGTTATCTGAAGTGAAAATGGTCTGTGGAAACAGGGAGTTTAATTTTTATACCAATCAGAATTGACAGACAAAAGAGTTTTGGGGGGACTTTTATTTTGTAATTACAGATCCAGACATTTGTGGGAGTGACACTCTGGGGTGGTGTACTATTATTTTGAATTGAAACTGGTCTGTGGAAACAGGGAGTTTCCTTTTTAGAGCTATCCAAAATCACAGGCAGAACAGGTAGAATATGACTTTTGAATGGCTTTTATTTTGTAATTCAACATCAGACTTACCTGATTTTGGGTGAGTGACAACCTGAGAAGGTCTACTATCAATCTTAAGTGAAACGAGTCTGTGGTAACAGGGACATTCCTTTTTAGAGCTATCTGAAATGCTAAGCAATACAGGTTGGATATGAGATTTTGGAGGGCTTTTATTGTTTTTTGGCTTTTTATTTTGTACTGACAACCAGAGAAGGTCTACTATCAATCTGAAGTGAAACGAGTCTGTGGTAACAGGGACATTCCTTTTTAGAGCTATCTGAAATGCTAAGTAAAACACCCTTTATATGAGATTTTGGATGGCTTTTATTTTGTAATGCAACATCAGACTTACCTGATTTTGGGTGAGTGACAACCTGAGAAGGTTTACTATCAATCTGAAGTGAAACTAGTCTGTGGTAACAGGGACTTTCCTTTTTAGAGCTAACTGAAATGCTAACTAAAACAGGTTGGATATGAGATTTTGGAGGGCTTTTATTTTAATGCAACATCAGACTTACCTGATTTTGGGTGAGTGACAACCTGAGTCTTTAATAATCCAACACAGAGCACAAGGAAGACGTTCAAGACCCAACAAGGAAACATGGGGCAGATTACACATTTATACTAAACTTAACGAGGGACAGACAGGTGCGGGGAATCAACTAATAATGAGACAACGAGAACAGGAACATGACCAAATAAGGGAACACTGAAACAGAAACAGGGGCATAACAGGCCCATAATCCTGACAACTTGCATGTTTTATCTTCATTTATGTTGATTACATCGTTAACTTTTTCTTTAATATGCGTATTTCTTCATTCATTTTGACATATAAACTGGCTGAGTGACGTGATTTATAAGAGATAGAACAATGTCTTATTTCCCTGTTCTTGTTTGTATGTATAAGTTAAGCACTAAAAAAAAAAGAAAAAAAAAAAACCTGGCTGAGTGAATGCACGCGGAAGATCGCCGTAATGCACAGTATATGCACGCACAGCAAAACAGAGCGGCGGCTAGATTGACCGTGCATTTCGGAGTGTCGGCTGGCTTGACCACAGTACCCAGTCGCCCTGCTGCGGAGGCTCTGTAACCGGAACCGAACAATGTACAGGACTCCCTCACATGTGAATCCCTCGTCGCCGACAGAGAGAGCTAAACTATACATGTGGCAAGCGGTGCAAGCAACAATAGCAGGAAAATAAGCCATTACTCACCGTCATTGATGAATGATTCTGACTTACCACTGTTGTTTGATGAACTAGTGAAAAAACGGAGCAAGAGAAAAAAAAAGAAAACAGCAATAGACTTGAATGGAAATGTGAATTACAAGCTAACCGGCTAACGAATGCTAACGCGCTGCAAGCTCGCTGCACTTAATCTGTACCAACAAGACTAATTGTTATGGGTTAAATTGCAGTTTACCACTTTTTTACAGTGCACTGACTAATGCACTGACAAATAATACAAGTATGAGATTTTGTAAAATTCACTTTAAAAAGAAAAAAACAGTTAAACATAAAAAAAAAATGAAGTAAATATGAACGCTGAACATATCCCTAAACCTAACCTTCACCCATGTAGTTACTTTAAACTACCCATTACTTTCTTAGTTAAGTATATTGTAAGTACATCTACTTTTTAATAAATAAATAAATAAATAAATAAAAAAGCAATGCCTAGTTTTTTTTTTTTTTTTGTGCAATCAAG